AACCTCATTGTTCTACTTAATAAACATGTCTGACAGTGATGGCAGGGCTGTGTTAGCAGACCAGGATACTGAAGTGGAGGCTTTTGGGGAACACAGACTTCTGTATTTTATAAGGCATGTTAGTGAAAACCTACACATATACACAATCGAGGGCAGGAAGAACAGAAAGAGAAGAAACAGGAGATGAGTCTTTTCTGTGTCTTAAACCAAAATGAATCAAATGCTGAAATATTCACCTGGTTGAAAGAAAGGCCAAGGTGAGGAAATCTACATTTTAAATTTATCTACATTTTAAAAAGCTTGATATTCTGGATATCTGTGTTAGCATATCTGAATTTTTCTGCAAACCATGAAACCCCATAACTTGTGGAATCAGGGACTGAAAATAAAAAGATCAAGTAACACACTGAAGGGAGTTACCATGAAGGACAATAACCTGGAAGGTTTAAATAAGACCTAATGCTTTGATTAAAAATAATATTTGTTAATAAAGAGACTGAGTTCTTCATGCAAAATTAAATGATGAAATGAAAGCATATTTGCACAAATTTTCAAAAACAGTAAGATTTTTCCTAAATGACTTGAATCAAGGCAGAAAAATTTATTTTAAGCCATTAGAATTAACAAGAGAATATTTTAACAGAATCCTACTTAAATGGATTTACTTCTTGGCCTTCAGAGATGGAGAATGAGTAGCCCCTAGCCCCCAACACAACCATGTAAGACTTTTCATGTGATAGTTGGGTAAGCATGATTGTGTTTGAACCACTACCTTTGAAACTTTAAGAAAACATTTGTAAAAACTAAATTGACAGGCTCAGCAATGACAAAATCTAAACTCTATTTTGATAAAATTTTTGTTACACAAATTTATTACTCAACTATATTACTGCAGAAATTAAGTTTATAAATTATAAGATGTTGTATTTTCATTTTAAATATGTTTTATGTTTGGGAGAAATATGTAATTACAGTAATACATGCTCACTTAAAAATATGTAGAGCTTATGCAGACCACATAATCACAAACACCAATTTAAATGATATAAAGTTGTAATTTGTGATTTTTATTTATTTAGTAACTTGTCCTCTCATTCAAACTAATTTATCTATATTTTAAAAAGCTTCAGATCTTGGATATCTGTACTAGCATATCTGAATTTTCCTGCAAACAATGAAAGTTCCTTTTCAGTGAACACTTCATATGTAATCAATTTGAAATAGTTTTTAAATATTCAAAGTGAGTAGAAAATAACTTTTGGACATATTTACTCCAACTACAACTCCTATTCCTGGACTCACAATGTTCCCCTGCCTATTTAGAAAGTTTTCCAAGATTTCTTCTGTAAAAATAGAAAAAGTTTTCTGTAAAAATAGAAAACTTGAATAATAAAGGTAATAATAATAATAAAGGTAAAACAAGTTTATCTTTCGTGAGGAACTGTGAATATCCTAATAATATGGAATATTTGCTCAATTATATCTAAAGAACTTGTTTATTCTGCTTAAATCAGTTTGCTAAAATTCCTAAATGCACTTCTTTGAAGACTTAGGTCAAGTAGATAATTTAGAAGAGTTAAATCAAATAAACAAAATAACGTGGACAAAAAAAAAGAAATTCTCTGATGCTTAATTTATCAAATTAACCTGTTGAAATTTCTGGTCATTAGAAGAGAAGTCATTAGAAGAGAAGGAGTAACAGTTTTCACTTTGCATTGGCCAAAGTCACTGTGGAGGTCATTTGTCTTCAAGCATCAAACACCTTCCTACATAAGCAAAGTAATGGTGGGAGGAGTTTTATATGAGAAATAAAAGTCACTGCCACCGCCCCCCCAGAGTAACAAGATAAACTATCAGAAACTTTTTTCTAGTTATCTGACATATGCCAACATTCCCAAATAGAAGCTATAATTTAAAGTCATGAACTGTACTTCTGATAAAGATAAAAAGTAAAAAAGACCAAATAAATATCTTTCCATTTGAGGATAAAAGCTCAGCCAGATGCCTTCTGTTGGAAACTGTTACCATGCCATGGGGGAGCCCTGGTTTAGCTGAGCCAGGAGAGGCACTAAGGGCACATCTGTAGGAGGCTTGGCTGAACACTCCAGAGGCTCCTGATAGTGCTTATGGTCATCCCAAAGGTCCCTCATTTCTTCAGCTTCTTTCCTCCCACTTTTTGTCCAACATGGCTTGGCATTTCCCCCAATTCCTACCTACTTTTTCACCCCCTCCCTTAAAAAGAGTTTCTAGAGCTGAAGTGATAGTGAGGCCTGAGGACAGGAACTGGTTAAGTCAGGAACAAGACAGTGTTCAACTGCAAAGGCCAAGTCAGCTTATTCAGTTTTCCCTCCCACCCTTTAGCATGCCACTGCTTTTATCACCAGTTTTTCAGGAGAAAAGGAATCCTAGGATTACCGGAAAAAGATGGTAATGATATCAATAGGCAATAGAAACAGTCAAGAGCAAACAAAGCTATCAAGTTCATTTCACTGATTTTTGACTAAAGTAAAATAGGGAAAAAAAATCAAGTGGTGGGTTGGGAGATAAAGAAAATGTTTGATCTACTGTCTTTTAGAAGAAACTGGCATATAAATGTAGAGGCTTTTGGACCACTCAAACCTTTGCCACAAGCATGAAAACACAAGGTTATAGGAAGAAGAAATGAAGGCCACAAGAAGGTAGAAAAACAAATTGCAATTCCCCTCCTGGGCCTCCAGTGGTCATGCTGATCAGTGGGCACTAGGGACATTTCTGCCACTTCACTCACCCTGTGTACACCATTCTCCTCCCCTAGTGTGGGCTTCTTCCTCACCAAATACAGTGTCAATCTCATTGTTTAACTGTACAGTTTGCCTGTTATTTCCCAAGGTGTTTGGCTGTACTCCCGTCTCCAGAGAGCCTCTCCCCACCAGCTGTGTCAGTCTTTCTCTGCACCCTAGGTCTGTTTCTGTCTAGGGACTGGCCTCCTCTTGCTGGTTTTTTTCTCTCCAGGCCTCTGTATGTTTTTCTTTCTACATCCCCTGACCTACCTTCTTCTCACTGTCATTCCTTCCCACGCCCTTCTCTTGGAACAGGCAAGCTTATCTCTCCATCTTACAGGGCTGAGTTTCTCTCCACTGCCTGCCTTAGTCCCTCTGCCTGTGTATCTGGCTTTCCCCCCACTGTGGGCCTCCCACTCCATGCTGGTGCTGGTCTCTCCATTGCAGGTGCACCTGTCTGGGAGTAGCTACTGAAACATGCAGGTTTTTTAATTTCTTTTACCTCTCTACATCTTAATTGCTGACATACACTTAACTATCAGTCATACTTGAGACTCTTTCTCCCTAGGATTTCATAGTGTATAGGAAGGTATTTCTTTCTTTGTATGTGCACTCCCCTGTTCTGTTACTTTTCCTCAACCCCCCCACAAATCCTGTTTTTCAACATATGCTTCTCTGGTAGGTAACATATGCATCCTGATGGATACATCCATGTGTCCACCCAATTCTTTGAGAGCCTTTCTTAGAGTATATTCATCTCTGAATCTCTCCTGCTCTGTTGACATATATCCTATCATGTGAAGTTCATATACAAGTTCATATACTTACCAAGGTGTGCATAACTGTGTGCTCCTCCTATGTGCATGTTAATGTGAGGAGACTAAAATGGCTCAGGTTCACACCTCTCCTGCCATTCTGCTTAGGACTCTGTGTCTTCTCTGTATTTAAAATGCCTGGCACTAGTGGGAGCTCAACAGATGTGAATTCTTTTCTCCACTTTTATCTGAATAAGTATGAGAGTCTGTCTGGGTGTCCCTCCGTTCCTCTGTGCGTTTTATGAGACCAGTTAGAGTGTGTTCCTTAGTATGGATTGAGCTATTTGTCAGTATGCCCCTGTGAGTTATATCTCCCTTTCTTCTCTCCAAATAAAATGTTACTGATATATAAATTATATCTTCCCCTTAGGCAATGCGTCCATTCTGGTCTCCCTCATTCCACAGTACTTACTGCATGTCCATAAACAACTTCCTCACGCCCCTTGGTTGCCAGTGTCTCTTCTTGGTGCCCCTTTCTCCCACTTTTTTCAACATGAAAACGTTCCTGGATTTGTGCCCCAACTGCGGTATAAGTGCGTCTGAGCCTCTCCCTGTGCTGGAGATGTGTGCCCATGGTTTTCTCTCCGAAACGGGGGCGGTTAAGAGTCCGGAATCTCTGCCTGGGATGCAGTGTATCTTCCCACCATCGGGATCGCTCGTCGTCTAAGTCCGTGAGTCAACCCCAGACGCTGAGCGTCTTTCTGGTATGTTGAGCTTCCTCGCCTTTCTTTTCCCAGAACCCAAAATCATGTTCCCGGGGCTAGATATATGGGAGTTCTCATGTGTCTCCCTGGGACGCCGGTCGGTTCGTGTTCGCCCCGGACGCGGTGCGTCTCCGCGAACGCATACTATCTGTATTCTAGAGCCCCTCAGAGAGCAAGATGTGTCCCTTTTAGCCCGTACTCTCAGCGGCTGTGTACTAGCCTTTTCGAGTACACATTGTGCCTACCCGCCAACCCCGCATACGTAAAGCGTCTGTGTCTCCAAGTCTTTGGGAGTACAAGTTGTGTCCTACCCTTACAAGGAGCGCCTGTGTCCTGGTCTCTCGGGTCTATGGTGCCACGGTGTTATCCCGAAAAAGCGGACAGCCTGTGCCACGGGTACCCCCTGGTTCTGCACTGGTACGCTGTACGCGCGCCCCCTCCCCCGCTACAGGCAGCGTGGTCATTTCACTTCTCGCCCTGGGGCCTCTCTCCCTCCTTGGGACCCAACAAGCCAGGAAACCCGCGGGCGCCGTCGGAAAGTCCCGCAGCGGCGGCGCAGCCAAGTCCGGGCTGCGGCTGCCTTGGCCCCGCCGCCAGGGGCCGCCCGCCCGCCCGCCCGCCGCCTCCCAACGCCCCGGCGCCCCGCTGGCCCGGGACCGCGGCGTCAGCTACCCTGACTGGCCCTGCCCTGCCGCCACGGGCGCTGACGGCAGCAGCGGCGAGCCACGGCTCACGGGGTCCCCGCGCCGGGTACCGGGACAGGGGGAGGCGCGGCCGGGCGGTGAGAAGTGCCCTCTTCTTTTCCGAGCTGGGTCGGCTGGTCCGCTCACCTTGTGGCTCTGGTAAGTCTCGAGCGCCCGGATCGCTGTCTCGGTGAGCTTCACATGCAGTACAGTGATGTTGTCCTGCCCTAGCCGCCCGCACGACAGTCCGTAGCGCTGCTCCTCCCGCAGGCCCGCCGCCCCCCCTGCCGCCATCTTAAACTCCCCGGGGTGCCACCGCCGACGCCGCTCGGGCTCTAGCCTCCACTGCGGCCGCGGCTGCTCGGGCTTCTGCAGCCGCCGCCACAGCTACGGCCATCCCGCTGCTGACGTACTGTCATATACTGCGCGCAGCCAGACCTCGGGCTGCCACCGCCGCCACCCGCCCCACCCTCTGGCCCCGCGCCCCGCCCCGGGCTCGTCTCATTGGCCGTGTTCCCCTCAGAGCTGCCCTCATTGGCCGCCCTCCACTCTCACGGGGGCGGGGCCCAAAGTCGCAGGAGTTTGGTTCCCGGGACGGGACGTCCGAGAAATGAGAGGCTGACGTCGGGGTGACGCTCCAACTTAATCACACCTGACGTCACGTGTGGTTGTCTTGATCGTGATTGGCCGGGTTGGTTTGGGGATCCCCTGCTAATTGGGTATCCTGGCTGCCTGGTTTGGTTACCTAAGTCGGAGCCACACCCCTTTGCGGGGGGATACTGGCAAGTAAGGGAGTAGAGAGTCTGGATACACTGATGGTACTTGGAGAGGAGGATCCCCACTTCAAAGGTGTGAGGGCATGACAAATGACAGTGTAAACACTTTGTCCCTCGACGGCTGCGGAACCTTGTAGAGCTTGGCGTGTGCAGGTGAAGACAGTCGCTGAAAAGTTTCTCCAAACTAAGTTCAGTACTGTGGTTGAGCAGATGTGATGGGAAGAACGCCCTTAGTCATTTTACTCTAAATTTGAGGTTAGTGAGTTGACCCTAGGTATTAGGGATTGTTTTAAATTGTGTGAAGTATCTTAAATACAATGCCATGCGGAAGGTTTATTTTATTTTATTTTTGCGTGGTTTTAGCATAACAGAGAATCATTCCTATGGAATAAGTTTCCCTGGAGCTTGCCATATATAGTCAGGATCATGCCTGTTAATGGAGTAGGGAGAAGCACCCCTGGTTCGAAGGATACCTTTTTTCAAAGGACCCTGGAAGGGTAGAACTGGCTTGACCTAAATTGAAAGAAACGTTGACATCACTTTCTCCAGAGTTCGGTTCATCTTATTTGATAGGGCTGTGGAAAAAACAGCTATAAGATCAGTAGAGGGGCCCCTGAGGTTAAATGAAAGAAATGGGTCCAGGCGGATGCAGAGGCCTGGCATAGTCGTCATTCCAGCTGATGCTGTGTGTGGGGGTGTGGCTAAAGGAGGGAGCATAATCTAGAGTCCTCTTCAGGCAGTGTGTAGATAGACTGACAGATAGGCTTTCGGAAATGATGAATTAATTGAGTGATCAGAAACACCAGATAAAAACAAACCATTGAAAGGTTTGAAATGATTAAGAGGCAATCTAAGAAGATACTTTTTTAAAAATTGAGATGCTCATCTTTACAGTTGTTAAAATTTTGTTGCATTTTTGCTGGAATTCCCTGGGGAAAATTTATAGGTATTTAATCATTCTAAATAGGATTAGTGCTCCAGTTTTCCATGATTCCACACCCTCCACCACTCACACATATGAATACATCCCTTCCCCACCCTACAGGTACACTGTCTTTTGATTCAAACCCTTGCATTGTATGAGTATAATGTGAATTTCAGAACAATTTTTTCCCCATAGCATTTGAATTAAGTGAAAGTGCTTGTGTTAGGTGTTGTTTTATCACAGGAGAGCTGTTTGTAAATTGACTTAACTGCAATATACTAGAATATATTGGCTAGCTCTTAAGACATGATTAACACTTGTTAATTTAGTTTACCTTAGTGTTAATACAGAGTGTCAAGTTGTCTTAAATTTATCAAATAGGGAAATTAAGACAATCACAAAAAATTGGATTAAGAATTTTACTTTTAGAAGGCAAATAGAGGCTTTATTAGCTGGTTTTCTCAGCTTCCCAGAAGCATAAACCCTACCCAACTACTTCATATCTAAGTGAACTATAAAATTATTTTTTCTCTTGTTTGCTTTACTTCCATAGAAAAGGACTGACCATGTATCTAAAGCCTTAATTATTGGGGTGAGGGGAGGTTTGACCAGAACAAGTAAAGTCTGTATCCTGCTGCTTTTTCTGTGAAGGTGGGTAAATTCCTGCCCACGTAAAATCCTAACTTGGTCTTCTGTTACTCAGAACTTCTGATGACTTCCAAGGTGGGCAGGGAACAAGGGTAATTTTCACTGTCGTTTTCAAATGTCTACAGTATGGCCTCTTATTAGTAATTGTTTTTTTCCTTTTATTTTTAGTTTTACTGATTTTATTTTTTTTAAAATACATGACAGTGGAATGATTTTTTTCTTAATTGTGGTATGAAAAATTTTCTTCTGCCCTATTTTAGTGGGTAACAGATCTTTAATGGACAATATATTATTGTAGTGGGTTAATGTTTGTATTCCTTTGAGCTTTTCAACTGTAGAAGGATTCAGTGATCATGTACAAAGTAATATGGTAATCTAGTAGTTCTCTTAATGGACATCTCTCAGGCATAGCATGAAATTATGCCTGCCTGAGTCAGATGGTCAAGTTGGGCTGTTCATAAGGATAATTATTTTGTAAAGGGCTGATGAAAGTTGCTGTTTGAGAAAGTTATCATTGTATATATATATATTCTGTATTTTTATTCAGTTTAAATAAATAATTATTAAATTCCTGCTAAGTGTAGCATACTGTAGAGAATTTAAAAAGTAAACATTATAGTCTCTAAGGGAATTTTCTGGTTTACACCAACATACTCAAAGCAAAACAATTAGATAATTAATAAATGCTAATTTAGATGGTGTTGGTGATAACCTCAAAAATCCAAAGAAAGGAGACATCTGAAGAGGTTTTGTGGTAATGGTGGAACTTGAAAATCTCTTGAGGGCAGAGTAGATCCTAAATAAGTGGAGGCATTACAGATGGAGAGAGGCCAAATAAAACATGATATTTATGATCATTGTAGCAGAACCCATGTGAATAAGAAAGCAGAGACCCTGTTAATTTTAAAGTATCCTGCCTAATCTATTATAATCAGAAGAGGCAGTCTCTGAATCAGATTTCTAAGTGTCCTTCTAGTACCTATATGTACCAAGTAGCTATTGTTTGCATTTAACTGAGAAGAAATCTGCCTTATAAGATAGTTAAGGGCAGGCAAAGACAAAATTGAAGTAATCTGACACAGGGCTCACTCTCTTTCTGATGTCTAATATACAGTGTAGGCAGAGGATATCTGAACATTAAGGTCTTCCTTCTCTGGTCTTCAGACAACAGAATACCTGATATCCCTGAATGGTGCATATTTAATGATCATCTCTGACATATTCAGGACTGAGGTCACTAATTTAGATACGTGTAGGGACCAGTGAGTCTTCAAGTGAGTGAAATAATCCAGATAAAATGTTATAGGCACTGAAGGTGCTGGACTGTGATAAGCTGGGGGTGTTTAAAGAATTCAGTCATTTCATTAGGATAATGTTTTACCACAAAATTTAAAAAAATAAAAGAGAATTTAGTGGTTTCTTGGTTCAATTGATTGTTCAAGTGAACATGCATGGGGGGCCCATGTTGCTTGATTTAATTTTTCAAGAAGAGATTGAAAATAAAGATTTTATATGAACCTCCTGATTTTTATTTGTTAGCATCTTTTAAAAATTTATTTATTTTTACATTTGAATCAAATGGGGTATAATTTCTCATTTTTCTGATTGTACAGGTTGCAGAATCACATTGGATGCAGTTGAAGTAGGTCACCTTGTTAGCATCTTAATAAAAGATTTTGATATATATTTTCTGGACACTAAACATGTCTTTGAGTTGGGCATGGTAGTGCATGCCTGTAACCTCAGCCACTTGGAAGGCTGAGGCAGGAGGATCACAAGTTAGAGGCCGTCCTGAGCAACTTAATGAGACCCTGTCTCAAAATCAAATTAAAAAGGTGTGGGAAATGGGAATGGAGTTCAGAGGCAAACACTTCCCTAGCATGATGAAGACCCTAGATTCAGTCCCCACTATTGCAAAAGAAATAAACAGCAATAGAATGTCTTTGAGTCAGAGTTAACACACGTTTCTAGTTTTCATTGTTTACTTTAGTGATTTTCAATGCAGAAGGCAATCTATCTTGTATCTGTCTTAGCAATTTTATGAGTTATTTCTTAATCCCACCCATACAAAAAGCTAATGCCTACAAATATCAATACAGGATAGTAGCTTCTACTATTCAAAGAAAATACAGAACCTTTTTGAATTATAGCAGAGAAGTTCTCTGAATGGAGAATTTCCAGGTGGAAATTCTTCCCTTGGAATTCTCTCTGATACCTCCTGTCCATGTGTTCAACTTGCACCATTTATACTTCTCTTCTTTCAAATCTTTGCCTCACACTGTACAAAACTCTTCTCCTTTCCTTGGATGCAGTTGAAGTAGGTTTTAAAAGAACTTTGCTGTTTATAGAGAATAAAAATGAAATACCTATAGGAAGGGTATAAATATTTGCCATGTAAGTACAAGTTTCAACTAAATAATTATTATTTTATCATGTGTGAATAGTTTTTACTGTTTAAGTATAAGAAATGTCACCTTGTATTATTTGTTGTTGTTATTATTATTTATAAATCTGGATAGGAATCCCCCCTCATTTCACTGAGGGATAGAACAGTATATTCATAGGTCATACAAATGTTGCAGAATACACGGTGGGAGGCTTTCTGGTCTATGATCATCACTGCTAGTATAATCCATTAGAGGTTCAAGAATTTGTCTTCAGGATGGTTTAGGACAGAGCACAATATGGATGGATAAAACCAGAGGACCTGAATTGAAGCTGGATTTTTACTTAGATTGTGTATTTATTGGGGGTAGGACTAAGGGGGTTATAAGAAGGGAGGTTGAAGCTGTTCCTGTCCATTTTTATAT